AAGATGTAACTGATTTTCGGTTTCATCATATCACCGTCCCACGAATTTCAACGCGTCGTTCCAAGATGTATCTGATTTTTGGTTTCATCCTAACTCAAAATTTTCATTCTATCCGTAACGTTGTTTCAAGATGTAACTGATTTTCGGTTTCATCATATCACCATCCCACAAATTTCAACGCGTCGTTCCAAAATGTAACTGATTTTTGGTTTCATCCTAACGTCGTCCCACGATTCCCAATGTCTTTTTTGTCTCAATCGGTCCGCTGCATCATGCAATATCCACCGTCCTTGTGCTTTCCACTGTGCAGAACTAGCGCTAGTTCCCGTTTCTGCCATCACCCCCGTTGTCATAATCTTCTATTGAACTCTCTATTGATTTCTGTTACTGAAGATTATTCTGTCCCTTCTTTTTTTTCTAATCTCACCATGTCTTCTGATAAGACTAAACCAGCCACTCCGTCCCGTTCGCATGGTGTTCCCATTACTCCTGTTGGCAAGGATAGTTCTACCAAGAAATGAAAACGCAGCAAGGATACTACCAAGAAACGAAAACGCAGCAGAGATAAAATGGCCCAAAAACCAAGAAGAGCCCAAACCTTAGTTCTTTTGGTAAGAAAACCTCTTCCACCTATCAACCGCTCAACACAAAATCGCCAACCGTTGTCGACGAAGACGACAAACAACTTTCTGCTGCCAAATTTACTTATGTAATGAGGCAACTGCAGTACACCCGCCTTCATTCAAATCGTCTGCAATGAACTCAAGACTACCTTTGGACTTCTAAGAGACCGTGTCTTTTTGTTTACCAAGGTGGCGAAGTCACTCGAGAAGGAGCAGTCGCCGAACCCTAATTCCAAAGATTCATTATTGTTGCCTTCTATTCATTATGGCATCGACCTCTTTGTGTATACTACGACTCCCCATGGAATATCCCCAAAAAAATTCGAATTGTCCGGTGGGGCTAAATCATCACCCTTTTCCTCTAGACTTTCCAAACTGAAATGCAAGGAWGAATATAACTMGCTATCCRATTTGCTTGGAAATTCAAAAGCCGTTACAATTCTCAACAACAGCAAGAAAACCGACGTCACTGATAACCAAGGCGCTTTGATATCCTACGAGACTATGTATAGGTATCTTGGACTCTACAGACAATCCCTTCACTTTTATATGAAACATGTACAATACCCCCCTGCACCTCTTGGTTGTGAGAAAGGATCATTTTGGTTGGACCGGAGCTCTCATCACCAAATGACAGCTACCACTGCCTATGCCGAGGGCTTCTTTGAATTTTTTGACGTGCTCATTGGACAAGAATCTCTCAATTCCTATTTCTCCAATCATCTGAGCTCAGATTATGTTCAGGGACGTCGTAAGTCATTGTTGTCACACCGCAGGGTGACAAACTTTGCGGGGTCCGTTTCTTCTAAAAAATGGGTTCACCCTCCGGACCCTGCCACCGTCGGCAGACTGCTAGAGGTCGAAGAAAGCAGGGAGAAGCTATTTCATGAATTACTCCATGGTTTGTGGAAGAATTTGAATGGGATGACAACATTTGGAGTTTTTTCTTCTTTATGTCTACGCCATTTCCAAGGTTCTGCTGTCCTCAATCACGACGAGTTTTACACCTTTTTTTGCCCCAACTGCACGAGAACTCCTTCATTGTTGTCCCTCCGAGCTGCCCGAGTTTGCCTGAAGGATGAAAATATATAGTCTCCCAGGCGTCGGGTCTAGATGAGCGTGTCAAATCGTTGAAAATACCAAGAGTTATATTGAGTGGTGTTAGGGAAGTGAGACCATTGTTGTTGATGGCAATTCCGTCCATGTACAGTAAACTAGGATTTTGTTCTTTGCAGGGTTGCACTTTCTTTTCCACGTCTCTATCCACCATGATCCATGGTGAAGTTCGCAAATAATGTCATCGTTTTCGAGGGGAGGATTCCCTTTGAAGGAAGTTGGGTCATTCTGGTTTGGGAAAGAAAGGTTGACCTCCGTCACCAGGGTGACATTTGTAAGTAGGGAGTGAAGAGCTTTGCGAAA